TGTCGAGGCTGCGGTGGCCGGGAGCAGCCACTGCACTCCAGTCTGGGTGACAGAGTGAGACTCCAACTCAAAAAAAAAAAGAAATCGTGGCTGTTGGTCCTGACTGCAAGTTAGTCCTGAAATTCTAAGACACAGGTTCACTGATAAATGCTTCTGGATTCTGATAGCTGTACTGATGAGCATTTACCCAACTTGCCACCATATTTCTTAAGTTGAACAATTTCATGGGTTTTTTGTTTGTTTTGTTTTTGAGTTGGAGTCTCACTCTGTTGCCCAGACTGGAGTGCAGTGGTATGCTCACAGCCACCCCAGCGTTGACCTGCTGGGCTCCAGCGATCCTTCTGCCTCAGCCTTCCAAGTAGCTGGAACTACAGGTGCGCACTACCACACTCGGCTTCATCTGTATTTTTATTTTTAATTTTTTTATTTTTTTGAGTTGGAGTCTCTGTCACCCAGGCTGGGGTGTAGTGGCACACTCCTGGTCACCACAGCCTTGACCTGCTGGATTCAGACAGTCCTTCCACTTCAGACTTCCAAGTAGCCAGAACTACAGGCACACACTACCATGCCCAGCTAATTTTTTTTTTTTTTAATTGTAGAGACGAGGTCTCACCATGTTGCCCAGGTTGGTCTTGAACCCACGGGCTCAGGCAGTCCTCTCGCCTTGGCCTCCCAAAGTGTTGGAATTATAGACTTGAGCCACCACACCCGGCCCATATGTATTTTTAAACATTAGATTCCTTAGGTTTGATGTGATCTGTTAGAATGGGCTCTGTAAGCTCCTTCCTGTCTCACCTCTGCACTTTCTTTCCCTTACAGTCACTTTCGAAGCATAGATCCTGGCCTCAAAGAAGACACTCTGGAATTCCTGATAAAAGGTGTCTATGGGCCAGGGGGTAAGGGATGGAAGGTGTCTATTATTGTTTGCTTGTTTACTGTTTGCAACATTTTATCAGCCACATGATGATATCAAGGCTGTTGTGATTCAGTTGGTTTGGCTAAACCCAGGGACCTTTGGCCTATTAAGATCTGTAATCTTGGTGGGCGATACAGAGTTATGTGTGTTCACTGTAAGGGCAGACCAACAAGAACTTTTTCCTACTTTTGAGTTACCTCTTTTGAATAGGAGTGACTCTTCCAGTTGCCAGGGAGACATTGTGGTAACTGGAGTAAGAAAGTAGGAACAGGGCATGTTCAGGGTATCAGGGTCAAGGGTCCCAAAGGACTTAGCTTACATTGTGACCACTGAGAGATGAAACACAGATCTTTGGTAATCTGATGGCTGCAACTGCTCGGTGTTCTGAAGTTGGGGTGTCTGACGACAGCGAACGAGACTGACTCGCAGATTCTGCCCTTCACAGTGGTGTCCCGCCACTCCCAAGAGCTTCCAGCCATCCTGGACGATACAACTTTGAGTGTGGCAGATAGAAATGCCCATCTAAATGCTCTCAAAATGAACTGTTATGCTCTGATTCGCCTCTTGGAATCCTTTGAGACCATGACCAGCCAGGCAAATCTCATGGACCTGAACCTTGCTGGGAAGGTAATTTGGAGTTTTTGGCTCACTTTATGCAGGGTCTGAGGGGAGTGGGAAATTGATGGGAAAGAAGGGAATCCAGTAGTCTGACAATGCCGTCTGTCCTCATTTAGGGTTTGGGAGTAAGAACTGACAAGTATCACACATTTCCTTCCCTGACAAGTAGCATTTTGGAGCTTGTGATACTTCTATATTACCTTTTACCTTGTCATGATACTGGATAGCTTGGACATTCAGAGTGGCAGATCTTGACCCTCTTTGTTTCCTAAATGTATATGTGTCTCTTTTTAGGGCAAGAAATCCCGGACCAAGCCAGCCCTTGGTTTTAACTGGGAAGAAGAGAGGCAACCAATTCTCCAGCTTTTAACACAGCTACTCGAATTGGATATTCGTCACCTGTGGAACCACTCTGTAATTGAAGAGGAATTTGTCAGGTGGGCAGTTAAGATGGCCACAGAAAATACTGAGCTATGAGGAATAGGGGATCTGTTGCTAGGTGTGCCCTTTTTTTTTCTTCCTTTTTTCTTTTTGAGTTGGAGTCTCACTGTTGCCCAGACTGGAGTGCAGCAGCACGCTCCTGGCCACCACAGCCGCGATCTGCTGGGCTCCGGCGATCCTTCTGCCTCAGCCTTCCCAGTAGCTGGAACTACAGGTGCACGCTACCACATCCGGCTAATTTTTGATTTATTGCAGAGACGAGGTCTCATCAAGTTGGCCAGGCGGGTCTTGAACCTGCGGACTCAGGCAGTCCACTCGCCTCAGTTTCCCAAAGTGCTGGGATTACAGGCTGAGCCAATGAGCCCAACCTTGTTTTTTTTTTTTTTTGAGTTGGAGTCTTACTCTGTCGCCTAGACTGGAGTGCAGAGTCCGTTCCCGGCCACCGCAGCCTCGACCTGCTGGGCTCCGGCAATCCTTCTGCCTCAGCCTTCCGAGTAGCTGGAGCTACAGGCGCACGCTACCACGCCCGGCTAACTTTTTATTTATTGTAGAGATGAGGTCTTGCCAAGTTGCCCAGGCGGGTCTCGAACCCGCGGGCTCAGGCAATCCACTCACCTCAGTCTCCCAAAGCGTGGGATTACAGGCTGAGCCACTGAGCCCGGCTAGATTTGCCTTTAAATACTTGATCTTATGCCTCAGTTCTGTCTGTAATACATAAAAGTATAATCATAGCAGAGTTGTTAGATAATGGAATATTAGAAACTGGCGTGAATCTCTCATCTTTAATGATTAATAATTATTCAGAAATAAAATTTTTATTTCTGAAACAATATTTTTGGAGAATCTCCTAGGTGTGTGTTTAGCATCCTAATAGGCCCTGGAAACAATAGTTTCTGCTCTCTCGGAGTCTATACTACAGAGTAGAAGGCAGTTTTTTTTGAGTTGGAGTCTCACTCCATCACCCAGGCTAGAGAGCAGTGGCATGCTCTCGGCCACCCCAGCATCGACCTGCTGGCTCTGGCCAGCCTTCCAAGTACCAGCACTACAGGCACGTGCTACCACAGCCAGCTAATTTTCTGATTTATCGAGATGAGGTCTCGCCAAGTTACCCAGGCTGTCCTCGAACCCATGGGCTCAGGCAGTCCCCTCACCTCAGCCTCCCAGAGTGCTGGGATTACAGCCACCACGCCCGGCCGGCAATTTTTAAAATAAGCAAAATATATGTTTTATGGTTTATTTCTATGGAGCAAGATAGAGGAGGGGCATGGGAAGTTTGATGGAAGAGGGTCGTGACTTTAACTCTTCTAGCAAGACTTCTTTGAGATGGTGACATTTGACCAAAGACCCAGAAAAGGTTAATGCAAGCTGTGAGGAGTAGCAAGGACAAGAAAAGGAACAGCAGGTGCAAAGAGTAGGGCATGTGTCCGGCAGGTACAAGCAATAGTAAGAAGGCCAGAGAGGTGGCAGCTGAGAGACGGTAGGGTAGGCTGTGGGGTCGGGGGGCAGCAGGGAGCCGAGCAGCAGATCCCTGCAGGCCATCATGGGGACTTGGCATCTCTTGGAGTGATATGGGACCACTGGGGGTTCCGAGCAGGGCGGTGAGGTCATCCGACTTACACTCTAACAGGGTCATCCTGGCGGTTGTACTGAAACAGACTTTGGAGGGAAAAGGGGAGCAAGATAGCCGTGAAGAGGCCATTCCCGTAGTCCACGCGAGAGGTGACGGCCACGTACACCAAGAAGTGGCAGTGGAGATGGGGAGAAGTGCTTGGGTTCTGACCTTTTTTACTTAAGCTAGAGCTTCTGGGATTTGCTGACAGGTTGGCTGTGAGGTAGGCAGGAGAGTACCTTCAAGGACAACTCTCCCAGGGGTTGGTCTGAGCATCTGAAGCCTGGAGCTGCTGGTAACTGAGGTATTAAGATGGCCGTGAGCAGGTGTTTTGCGGGGATGGTCACAAGTTCTGTTGTGGGCATACAACGTTTGAGGTGCTTATCAGACACCCAAGTAAAGCTGTCAGAGTAGGCTTTTGAATGTACAGATGTGGATTTCAGGAGAGAGGTCTGGGCTAGAGAGATACATGTCGGAATATAATGGCATTCAAAACCTTGAAAATAAATGAAATCATCAAACGAGGAAATGTAACTGGAAGAGAGCAGAAGTCCAACACTGGTACCCTGGGGCATACCACCATGAAGTGGGTGAGGAAGTGAGGAAGAACAAGCCAGAGAAACAGAGAAGGGACTCATGTCCTGGAATCCAAGGAGGAAGTGACCAATGAACTGGATCAAATGCAGCTGAGAGATACTCATAAGGGTGAGGGTTGAGTCAGTCATTCTTTTAGCTATGAGACGTTGGTGGCAACCTTGTCCTGTCTTTCATCACATATTCACGTTCTTTGTTGGCATCAAAGACTGGTTGAAAATTAGTCATCTTGAAGGAAGGAGTAGCTATCTGGGGTCAACAAAGCAACATGGTGTAGAAGGTGTAGGTGGAATGAAGAACACTAGGAGAGTGCAATGAGCACGGCAGGGAGAGTATATGTGAGGCAGGGCCGTGATGTGACTGAATCCAGACGGCCGACTTCATCCTCTCAAACTCTTTCTTTCTTAGTTTGGTTACTGGCTGTTGCTACCGCCTTCTGGAGAACCCTACCATTAGTCACCAGAAGAACCGCCCCATGCAGGAGGCCATCACACGCCTGCTTGGTGTGGCCTTGACGCGTTACAATCACGTGCTCAGTAAGTTCTCCCTCCGCTTGGCCTGCCCTTTTCATTGGCCCATAATTTCTCACAGTTAGTTCTTATGCAGGTGCCACCGTGAAGATCATCCAGATGCTGCAGCACTTTGAGCACCTGGCATCTGTGCTGGTGGCGGCTGTGAGTCTGTGGGCAACTGATTATGGAATGAAGAGCATAGTAGGAGAGATTGTAAGGTAACTCTTCCTTCTTAAAGTTTCTTATTTTCCTTGGGGAGAGGATAAAGGGAGATTGGAAATATATTCTCAGTTTAACAGTAGATTTCTTCAGATATTAGCTATGAGTCTTACCTTCCCTTATGGGAACTGAATAATTGAGCTGTCTTGCTATGGCTGTGTTTTCTTCTCTGTGTAGAGAGATTGGACAGAAGTGTCCCCAGGAGCTGAGTCGGGACCCTGCAGGAACCAAGGGCTTTGCAGCCTTCCTAACAGAACTAGCAGAACGTGTACCAGCTGTCCTGATGTCCAGCATGTGCATTTTGGTAGATCATCTGGATGGAGAGGTAGGCAGTCTGCTGGAGATCTCGAAGATTCTTCTTAAGGTTTTGAGTCCATTGCTGTTTCTTCCTTTTCTTTTCTTTTTGAGTTGGAGTCTCACTCTGTTGCCCAGGCTGGAGTACGGTGGCATGCTCACAGCCACCACCGTCTCAGCATGCTGGGCTCAGGTGATCTTTCCACCTCAGCCTTCCAAGTAACTGGAACTACAGGCACACATCACCATGTCTCGCTAATTTTTTTGATTCACTGTGGAAACAAGGTCTTACCAAGTTGCCCAGGCTGGAAGGCGGTTTCTTTTTTTTTTATTTTTGAGTTGGAGTTTCACTCTGTTGCCCAGACTGAAGTGCAGTGGCACGCTTCTGGCCACCGCAGCCTCCACCTGCTGGGCTCCGGCGATCCTTCCACCTCAGCCTTCCAAGTAGCTGAAACTACAGGCGCGTGCTACCATGCCCGGCTAATTTTTGATTTATTATAGAGATGAGGTCTTGCCAAGTTGCCCAGGCAGGTCTCAAACCCGCGGGCTCAGGCAATCCACTCACCTCAGCCTCCCAAAGCATGGGATTACAGCCTGAGCCACCGAGCCCGGCTGGAAGGCTGTTTCTTAACAGAACAAGACAGTAGCTTTCACGTGAAGACAAATGGTCTAGATTTATCATTTTGGTAGTGTTCTCCTGTATAAAAGCAGATCAAGTTCATTGAGTAAAGAGCCCTTTATTAACCATGTCTCAATATCACATTAGTTTATCCAGCTCTGGCAGGGGAGATGACAGTTCCGCAGCTTAAGTCTCATAGTAGTGACTCAGCTTTGATTCCGAGTTCCACCTATTCCTCAGGATGAAGCCTCTCATTTCTCTCTCATCCCTGAATGCTGACCTGGCTAATTCCCAGACCAATGTCAGGCACTCCGAGGGGATGTTAAGGACAAAGACAGTCTATTGGTCATCTGATTTACTGCAACTCCTATGCAAGACCCTTCTCTGGTTCTTGGCCTGGCAAGTCCCCAGTCCCTGATCCCCAACAGATTGTATGATGGACTGACTTGGCAGTCTGGGCTGATTTATGAGTTTCTGGGTCTTGTTTTCTGTCAGTAAAAAGAAAGGAGAGCGGGAGGGAAAGGGAATATTTGTTAGTAAGGACCAAATGCTTTGAGACCTTCGCTGAAGGCCAGTAATGAGTGCTTTTCACATGTGTGCTAGTAAGTGGACATGGTTTCAAGTTCAACATCTACCCTGGTGAGCCCTATAAGGAATAATTGGTTTTGACTCTTGTGTACTTTTCCCAGCATTCTCCTCTGAGCAAACAGGTCCCCTCTGGGATTCAGCTTTTCCCCGTGACCTGGTGGGTGGAAATACTCATGCAGTTGGCCAGAAAAGTTCAGCTGAGCATAAGCAAGCTTGGCCTTGACTGAAGAAGGCCTTGCCCCTCTTTGTGCCTGGAAAGTGCAGGGAAAGGAGATTTTTTTTTATTTTTGAGTTGGAGTCTCACTCTGTCGCCCAGAGTGGAGTGCAGTGTCCGCTCCAGGCCACTGCAGCCTCGACCTGCTGGGCTCCGGTGATCCTTCCACCTCAGCCTTCCAAGTAGCTGGAACTACAGGTGCGTGCTACCACGCCCAGCGATTTTTTTATTTATTGTAGAGATGAGGTCTCGTCAAGTTGCCCAGGCGGGTCTCGAACCCACGGGCTCAGGCAATCCACTCACCTCAGCCTCCCAAGGCGCAGGATTACAGACTGAGCCACCGAGCCTAGCTGGGGAAAGGAGATTTAATATTGGAGTTTTTAAATCCCTACCAACTGTTTCTCTCAGAATCACATGATGCGCAATGCTGTGCTGGCAGCCATGGCAGAGATGGTACTGCAGGTTCTGAATGGTGACCAGCTGGAAGAAGCTGCCCGAGACACCAGAGACCAGTTCTTGGATACCTTACAGGCCCATGGCCATGATGTCAACTCCTTTGTGCGGAGCCGTGTTTTGCAGCTCTTCACCCGGATCGTCCAGCAGAAGGTAAGCAGCCTTCTGTGTGATATGGACACTTGGTTCCCCTCCACAGACAGACCAGAGTCGAGAGGAATCCAGTGTTGAAAAGAAATATCTGCCCTAAAGAAGTCTAGAACAGTAATCAAAGTCTTCCTTTACCAAGGACAAGGATGCCTGACTCCCTTGGCTCCACTTAATGACTGTAATGTGTCTTACCCACTACAGGGAATACTCGCTGCCTGTTTTATATCCCATAGCAAGGCTTTTTTATTTTTAGCATGAGTGTGTAGCTCCATCTTGAACAAAATGTATCGTGTGAATGGCAAGCTGACCCTTCTCTTGCTTCATGCAGGCTCTGCCCCTGACACGTTTCCAGGCAGTGGTAGCCTTGGCCGTGGGACGTCTGGCAGACAAGTCAGTGCTAGTATGTAAAAATGCCATCCAGCTGCTAGCCAGCTTTCTAGCCAATAATCCTTTTTCCTGCAAGGTAAGTAGTTTTGGTCTACCAAAAGACAAGGAACTAAATGGAAACGAGGATAAAATTATGTCACTTAGTGAACCTGCTACTTATTTTACCTTGATAGCTTAGTGATACTGACCTTGCTGGACCACTGCAGAAGGAGATGCAGAAGTTACAAGAGATGAGGGCCCAGAGGCGAGCTGCAGCTGCTAGTGAGTAGTTACTGCTAAGAGTCTTTACCCCAGACGGCCTTCTTCCTACAGCCAGAAACCCCAGCAAAAGAGACTAAGTGAGACTTTCTCATTCAGCCGCAGTGCTGGACTCAGAGGAGGAGTGGGAGGCCATGATACCAGAGCTGAAGTCTACCCTGCAGCAGCTTCTAAAGCTTCCCCAGGAGGAAGAGATTCCCGAGCAAATTGCTAATTCGGAAACTGCTGAAGAGGTGAAAGAACGTATCCGTCAGCTGCTTGCCAAAGCTAGTTACAGGTATGTGAAAGAATGGGATATTCTCCAGTGATTTGTATACGGATGTAGAGGTAACCTTTGAGAAACTTAGATGTTTCTTTCAAACGAACTGCCCTCAGGTATGCTGCTACCCTGTGACGGTAGGTGTTTTCATGGTAGTAATGGTCTGACCAAAGGCACAGTCCATAATTCCTCTACTTATATAAGTGTTTAAAGAAACTACTAATGATTATATGTAAGGGTTATTACAATTAAATATAAGTTCTTCATTTGGAAAAGGAAGCTTGTAAGTACAATCCTAGGTGTGTCATCATAAGTTGCTTAACATTCTGAGCCACGGTTCCTTATCTATAAGATAAGGAATTGATGAGATTATATCTCTCTAACGACTTTCTCATTCTAAATTCTGAGCTAATAAATAATATCAAACTTGCTAATTCCTACCACCTTAATCTTCAAATCAACTTAGTATGAATCCTGATAGAGAAAAGATGTCTCTCTGAGTTTCTGTGACTCGGGAAGTTCAGAGGCACTTAGCAGCAAAAGCATTAGTAGTTGCCAACAGGTATTCTTCAACCTCAGCTACAGGCTGTTTATTTTCACTTACTTATGCTATTTAAAGAAGGCTGACTTGTTTAGCTAGAGAGTGGCTTGATTGTCCTATAACTGCCCTATGGTTCTCTTTTTATTTTGCTAGAGCATAACTAGAAAGTAAAGTTTTATAACTGCTTCTTCTTCCTGAGGTATTCAAGTGTTTCTCCTCTCAGCTAGAAGAAGGATTTTTCTCATGTTCAACATGTTACCCCCTCATTTTGAAGTCCTCAGCAGTAGATGCTAGGCTCTTTTTTTTTTTGAGTTGGAGTCACTCTGTCGCCCAGGCTGGGATGCAGTGGCATGCTCATGGCCACTGCAGCCTCGACCTGCTGGGCTCAGGGGATCCTTTTGCCTCTGCTTTCCAAGTAGCTGGAACTATAGGCGTGGACCACCACACCCAGCTAAATTTTTTATTTATTGTTGAGACGGGGTCTCAGCTATGTTGCCCAGGCTGGTCTTGAACCCCTGGACTCAGGCATTCCTCTCACCTTGGCTTCCCAAAGTGCTGGGATTACAGGTGTGAGCACCACACCTGGCCAAAAACCTGCTTTTTAAAAAGTAGGCAGTACATTCCCATGGTATGCAATTTGACATCACAGAAAAGGCAAGTCACGAACATCCCTTCCAAGCCTGTTTCCCAGCCACATCATCCCCCTTCCCACAGGGAAGCAATGTCAGGACTTTGTTTACTATCACTCTAAAGATAGCATATGGATACTGAGTCAAACATACGTTCTTTCCACATTTTACATGACTGATAGGATTCTCTACCCATTAGTCTACCACCTTGCTTTTTTCCATTTAACTCTGTGTCATAGTGATTAGTTTTAAATATTTATGCATAAATAGCTTCCCCCTTCTTTTATAGCTACATAGAATCCAATTATGTTATTATGTCCTAGACTAACTGGTTATTGAAAGCTTATTGTTTCTAAACTTGTTTTTTTTTGGAGTCTCACCTTATCACCTAAGTTGGAGGGCAGTGGCACGCTCCGACCCACCGCAGCCTCCACCTGCTGGGCTCTGGCAATCCTTCCACCTCAGCCTTCCAGGTAGCTGGAACTATGGGCATGTGCCACCATGCCCGGCTGATTTTTTGCTTTGCTGCAGAGACGAGGTCTTGCCATGTTGCTCAGGCTGGTCTCGAACCCCTGAGCTCAGGCAATCCTCTTGCCTCTGAATCCCGAAGCACTGGGATTATAGATGTGAGCCCTTGCACCCAGCTGGTTTGTGATTTTTGAAAGCTAAAAAACCTTATTGGAGAAGTAGGAAACATGCTTTGAGCCCCACCGCTGGCTGGTGCTGCTCAACTATTTAAGCATGGTAAGCGTTCCTTTTCTTTGGCAGTGGGTCTAAGAACTTGATGGGGTCATGAGGTAGGCTCCCTTACAAATGGCTGCTGTGACCCTTGTAATGGGTGCTGAATGGTGACTGTCTGGTATGTTCTTCAGGCAGGCCATCGTTCTCACTCGGGAAGCCACAGGCCACTTCCAGGAGTCTGAACCCTTCAGACATACAGACCCAGGAGAGTCAGGGGAGACCAGGTTCCTGAATCTCTTAGGAATTATCTTCAAAGGTAATTTGCTTTTGCTTCTTCAGTCAACAAAACATTTCAACTGGTATTTACTTTATGCCAGACATTGGACTGACTAACAAAACCTGTGCTAAGGGTTGTCTTCAGGATGGGATTGGGAAAAAAAGTATTAAAAAGTCCAGAGGGGGCAGTGCTTCAGTCTGGAGTGGAAGCAGCCCATTGGCCTAAGATTGATACCCAAACCATAGCGGTCTTTAGGAATCTTCTCTGAGAACTGAAGATACTTTAGGATAGGTTTTAATTTATTTAATTTATTTATTTATTTTTTGAGTTGGAGTCTCACTCTGTCGCCCAGACTGGAGTGCGGTGGCCGCTCCCGGCCACCACAGCCTCTACCTGCTGGGCTCCGGCGATCCTTCCGCCTCAGCCTTCCGAGTAGCCGGAATTACAGGCACGCGCTACCACGCCCGGCTAATTTTTTGGTTTTATTGTAGAGATGAGGTCTCGCCTGCCCAGGCGGGTCTCGAACCCACGGGCTCAGGCAATCCACTCACCTCAGCCTCCCAAAGGCGAGGGATTACAGGCTGAGCCACTAAACCTGGCTAGGATAGGTTTTAATTTTCTATCTTCTCACTGTGGAAAAAATAGCCAGGGATGTTGACACCTGTGGATTCTCCCATCTGTCTTTGAACGAAAGCCATCCTGTACTTCCTCAACTTCTAGGACCAACAGCTTCTGCACAAGAGAAGACACCCCAGCAGTCTGCAGGGAATGCGGTCCCGGGACAGATTGTCTGTAAAAACAAGCCTAGTGCGTCGGAGCCTGAGGGGACCAGGGGCAACGAGGACCTGATGAAGCAGGAGATGCTGGTTCAGTACCTGCAAGACGCCCACAGCTTCTCTCAGAAGATCACAGAGGCCATCAGCATCATCGGCAAGATGATGTATGAAAACACAACTACAGGTGGGCCCCTCTAGAGGTCAGGACTGGGCCTTGGAGTTTCGTCCAATTGTGTCTGCTCCTTGAAAAAGAAAGGTTGGGCACAGTGGCTCACGTCTATCAACCCAGCACTTTGGGAGGCTGAGGAGAGAGGATTGCCTAAGCCTAGGGCTTCGAGACCAGCCGGGGCAACTTAGCGAGACCTCATCTCTACAATAAATAAACAAATTAGCCGTGCATGGTGGCGCATGCCTGTAGTTCCAGCTACTTGAAAAGCTGAGGCGGAATGATTGCCTCAGCCCAGCAGGTTGAGTCTGCAGTAACCGTGAGCGTGCCACTGCACTCCAGCCTGGGCAGCAGAGTGCGAGTTCAATGCAAAAAAAAAAAAAAGAAAAGAAAAGGCAAGGGTTCTTTATTTCTGTTTGCTTTGTCTGGCTCCTCCAACTTTTTTTTTTTTTTTTTAGTTCGAGTCTCACTCTATTGCCTAGGCTGGAGGGCAGTGGCATGTTCATGGCCACCCCAGTGTCGACCTGCTGGGCTCCAGCAATCCTACCGCCTCAGCCTTCCAACTCAGCCTTCCAAGTAGCTGGAACTACAGGCACACACTACCACATCCAGCTAATGTTTTCAATTTATTGTAGAGACGAGGTCTCGCCACAGCTTGCATATTTTACTGCATGTAGTACCTCATGAGAGGCCACCACAGGAGCATGGACATCCTCAGGGAGAACAAGGAGGGTTCTACTGCCTGTTGCAACATGTAAAAAGGTTCTGTCTGTAGGGACTGAGGAATTGTGCCAAGTTGACAGTGACACTTGTATCTGCTTTCTCAGTGGTGCAGGAGGTGATTGAGTTTTTTGTGATGGTGTTCCATTTTGGGGTGCCCCAGGCCCTGTTTGGGGTGCGCCGCATGCTGCCTCTCATCTGGGCCAAGGAGCCAGGCGTCCGGGAAGCTGTGCTCAATGCCTACCGCCAGCTCTACCTCAGCCCCAAGGGGGACTCTGCCAGGTACATGGGGCCCTTTGCCTCTGCTGATTTTCCTGAGATCGCTTCTCACAGGACTTTTCTAGTCTCCTGAAGGAAAAGGGGACATCCTTCTAGGGGAGTTCCACATTCATAGGCAGTGGGTCTGCAATGGGATTCAGTTGGGGCTGAATTTCTAGTGAAGCCCATTCTAAGCAGTTGCTTGATACGTAGCGGGATAGCCAAGTTCAACTACCAGTCTTGTAATGACCCCTGATCTCTGTTATTCTCACAGAGCCAAGGCCCAGGCTTTGATTCACAACCTCTCTTTGCTGCTGGTAGATGCTTCAGTTGGGACCATTCAGTGTCTTGAGGAAATTGTAAGTCTTCTTACTTATCTTTCTTTATTCATTCAACAGGTATTATTGAGTTATTACTACATGAACAGCAATTTACTCAGTCCCACAAAGAAATATAAGACAATTTGTTTCAGCTGGACGTGGTAGCTCAAGCCTCTAATCCCAACACTTTGGGAGGTGGAGGCAAGAGGATTGTCTAAGCTCAGGGGTTTGAGACCAGCCTGGGAAACATGACGAGACCCCATCTCTACAATAAATCAAAAAATTAGCCAGGCATGGTGGCATGTGCCTGTGATTCCAGCTACTTGGAAGGCTGAGGCAGAAGGATCACCTGAGCCCAGCAGGTCGAGGCTGTGGTGGCTGTGAGCTTGCCACTGCATTCCAGCCTGGGCGACAGAATGAGACTCCAACTCAAAGACAAAACAAAAAGACAATTTGTTTCACATCCCCAGCTTTTTTTTTTTTTCAGTTGGAGTCTCACTCTGTCACTTAGGCTGGAGTGCAGTGGCAAGCTCATGGCCACCACAGCCTCAACCTGCTGGGCGCAGGTGATCCTTCTGCTTCAGCCTTCCAAGTAGCTCGATCTACAGGCACATGTCACCATGCCAAGCTAATTTTTCTTTTAAATTGTAGACATGAGGTCTTGCCAAGTTGCCCAGGCTGGTCTTGAACCTGTGGGCGCAGGCAGGCCTCTCACCACCGCCTCCCAAGTGCCGGGAGTAGAGGCCTGAGCCACCACACCCAGCCTGCATCCCCAGCTTTAAAGGAACCAGCGTGTAGTCGGCAGCCGGAAAACACAGAACGTTTTGAGAAGAGTGCAGCAGATAGATAACCAAGTGCCAGAATAAGTTGCGCAGATAATGGTTGTGATAGCAACAGTGACAGAATAATGACAGCACTTATGTGTTTTGAGTACATGAATACATGCCAGACACTTTTCTTAGCACTTTGCTCATATTACCTTGTTGAATCCTCACAACAATCCTGAGAGGCAGTGTTATCTGCAGTTTACAGTGAGAGATCCAAGGCACAGAGAGGCTAAGGAACTTGACTGTTCACACCTAGTTCGTGGAGTGGCAAGGCTTGAAACTGAAACTCAGCCGATAAGAGCCCAGAACACATGCCCTCCCGTGCTCCACTAAAGAGTGCAGAGTGGGAAAGGGGGTGGTCTGAGGCAGAAGGGTCCGGGAAGCTCTCCAGCCAGGCACAGCGGCTCAAGCCTCCAATCCCAGCACTCCAGGAGGCTGAGGGGGGTCGCTTCAGGCCAGAGGTTTGAGAGCAGGCTGGGCAACAGAGTGAGACCCTGTCTCTCAAAAAAAATTGAAAAACTAGCTGGGCATGGTGGACCTGTAGTCCCAGTTACTTGGGATGCTGAGGCAGGAGGATCACTTGAGCTGTGGGCAACAGGGTGAGACCCTGTCTCAAGACACACACACACACACGCACACACACACACAACAGGGTGAGACCATCTCAAGACACGCACACACACACACAACAGGGTGAGACCCTGTCTCAAGACACACACACACACACACACACACACACACACACACACCCTCCCTTCCTGAAGGAAGGTGGTAGGGCCTAGGTTGAGTCTTGAAAGTTGAAGAGGGTTTGGGGAATTAGAGAAGAGAGGGAGAACATTTCAGACAGAAACCCAACAGTCCCTGATGTAGAATGAGGTTTGTCTTCCGGCTCAAAATTATCTGGAAAACATGATAAAGCTGGGAATACAGGTTGGAACTCAGTTGTGAAGGTCCCTGATTGACCTGAGAGTCGAGGACTTCAGCCCTAGTAGCCAGGGATCCATCCAGGCTTTCAGCGAGGCAAATCTGCTCAGAAGCATTTGCGTTGTGGGCTCCAGCTCCCTCCCAGAGGAGTGCTCCTGCCAGCCAGTGTTCTCACTGAGAACGAAAAGAGCCTGGTGGCGGCAGCTGGCCCCAGGCGTCATAGGCCCACGAGTGGCCAGGAGCCCTGTAGGGGGCAGGGGAGAGTGACTGCAGACTGAGGAGCAGCAGAAGTGTCGTGGAGAGACCAGCCCAACAGCAGCACATAAGCTGGCTGTGAGGAGGCGAGGCCAGGGCAGAAGGCCAGTGGAGGCTGCCGAAGGGGCGCCTTGAGAGGCTGGCTTCGGGCCTGGAAGAGTCGCTGCACTGTGGCTTAATGGAAGACATTGTAAAGGAAAATAAGCAGGTGTCACTGAGAGGGTTGGGACCGCGGACAAACGAAAAGGCAAGGAAGGATGCTGGCTTCCAATGTAGACATGTTGGGTTTGTGGTAGCAGGAGAACCTGCCAGAAATCTTCAGAATGTAGTCAGCACGGTGGTACACACGGGGTTCGAAAGGTCAGTTTCAGTGTATCCCTTGAGTCAGCCTGGAAGGCGTGAGAGTAGGAAGTGGAGCATGGCGAGAGAAGTATAGCCCCTCTTCCGCCTGGGTCTCCTCCTCCTTCGTTTCATTCCTAACTATTGCTTTGCTGCTGCAGGTTGTCACTGTCTTCCTCAGAGAGAGGCGCTGGGGTGGGGAATCGGCATTTTTTGCTCGAGCCCTTTTTCCTTTCTCCTCTCAGCTCTGTGAATTCGTGCAGAAGGATGAGTTGAAACCAGCAGTGACCCAGCTGCTGTGGGAGCGGGCCACCGAGAAGGCCCCCTGCTCTCCTCTGGAGCGCTGCTGCTCGGTCACACTTCTGGGCATGCTGGCACGGTGAGGCTCAGATCCACGGGCGGTGGGTGAGAGCGGGATGAAAGTTCTGAGAAGGTTCCTTTTCCTCCGTTGGTAGCAATGAGGTCTAGCTGAGCTCTGCTCTGAGTTGGCCGCTTTAATGGGAAAGAAGCCAGGCACAGTGGCTCCCACCTGTCATCTCAGCACTTTGGGAGGTGGAAGCGAGAGGACAGCTTAAGCCCCTGGGTTTGAGACCCGCCTGGGCAGCAGGGCAAGACCTCATCTCTACAGTAAATCAGAAAGTTAGCTGAGCATGGTGGCACACGCTTGTAGTTCCAGCTCCCTGGAAGGCTGAGGCAGAAGGACCATCTGAGCCCAGGAGGCTGAGGCTGCGGTGGCCGTGAGCATGCTCCTGCACTCGAGCCTGGGTGACTGAGTGAAACTCTGATTCAAAAAAAAAAGAGGCAAGGAATATAGTGTCATAGGCCCCGCGCCTAGCAGGAGTAGTGGCAGCCAGCAGAGCAAGAGAGACTCAAGGGGCTGGCCCTGTGTTGGCTTCACTGCGGTGTCTCAAGGCTCTGTTGCCTGTCTGTCTTGGCAGTACCCGCTCCTCAGCGTTCTATCTGGGACTGCATCTGACTCTGTGGCTTTCTCTCCCTAGAGGAAAACCAGAAATCGTGGGAAGCAACCTAGACACACTGGTGAGCATAGGGCTGGACGAGAAGTTTCCACAGGACTACAGGCTGGCCCAACAGGTGTGCCATGCCATTGCCAGCATCTCTGACAGGAGAAAGGTAGGTGGGGGTGCATACGTGCAAACTGAGTAAGAGGAGTCCACTTGTCTATCCTGCACACATACCCACACTCTGTGGTTCTTGTTCTCCACAGCCTTCCCTGGGCAAACGGCACCCCGCCTTCCGGCTGCCTCAGGAGCACAGGTTGTTTGAGCGACTACGGGAGATAGTCACCAAAGGTGAGCTCCCAACAAGGGCCTTGAACAGATGGGCCCACTGGGCATGGCCGTGTGTGACGTCCCCCTTCTCCCTGCAGGCTTTGTCCACCCGGACCCTCTCTGGATTCCATTCAAAGAGGTGGCCGTGACCCTCATTTACCAGCTGGCAGAGGGCCCCGAGGTGATCTGTGCCCAGATCCTGCAGGGCTGTGCAAAGCAGGCCCTGGAGAAGCTGGGAGAGAAGAGCGCCACCCAGGAGGACCCACGTAAGTGGCCAAGGGCAGATGGCTGCTGGGGGCAGTGGCTCTGCTGCAGGGCCAGAAGCCACGGCCACCACCGCTGTCTCCAGCCACCTCTCACACTCACCCTCTCGCTTCCGCCCAAGTTGAAGTCCAGTCACTTTGCACCACCGTCTCCCACCCTGCCTCTTCCTGCTTCGCTAGTCAGAGTGGCACGCGGGCAAGGGCAGGATCCGTCAAAACCAGGTTCAGGCCGGATGGGAATTGACTGTGTCCCTCCTTATTGCCCTCTCCCTCCTCCAGAGGAGACGCCCCCTGCGCTCCCCACTTTCCTGTTGATGCACCTGCTGTCCCTGGCTGGGGACGTGGCTCTGCACCAGCTGGTGCACTTGGAGCAGGCGGTGAGCGGAGAGCTGTGTCGGCGCCGCGCTGTCCGGGAGGAGGAGGAGCACAAGGCCAGAGACCCGAAGGAGAAGGTAGCTGACGTGCCCGGGATGCCAGGGCCGCTTCCCGGCCTTTCCCAGGCTTATCTCGTGGCCTCAGCTCGGGACGTCTCCGGCGTCTCTGCTTCTCTTCTCTGTGGAGGGACGTGAAGAGTCTGCCGCTCTGTGGGAGAGAGTGAGGAGACGGGTGGCACAGTCTGCCCATGGTCAGGGTCTAGGTGGACACAGCGTGGAGGTGGAGACCCCGCTCGAAGTGGAGGCTCTGGTCCGGCCGCGACTTAAAGCTGGTGTGCACCCGCCCCTTTCCATCAGCCTTTGTCGCTGACTGGCCCCTGGCGGGACCTTGTGTTCTCTCCACTAGAGGCAGTGATGTCCTGCAGACAAACCAGACAGCTTCGCGGCAGTGGGCAAGGTCTGACCTCTCTGACCTTGAGCCATTGTCTGGCTTGTGCCATCCATTCAGTTTTATAGAAAATTGTCTTTCATGAGGAAGAGGCAGAAATATGCTCTGGCAACTAACAAACCAGGGCCTGGCGCCTTCCCTGTAACTCGGGAGTCCTTTCTCGTCACACACTTGGCAGTTCACCTCGTTCGTGCCAAGTGAGCTGCAGGCCGGATCTGATGTGTGCCTCTGCTCACCTCATCCCCGGCTTCGTTCCCTTTAGAATACGAGCTCTGAGACCACCATGGAGGAGGAGCTGGGGCTGGTCGGGGCCACTGCCGATGACACGGAGGCAGAACTGATCCGGGGCATCTGCGAGATGGAACTACTGGATGGTGAGGAGAATGGCGGTGCTCAGCAGTTTCCCTGCAGCTGAGATAACCTGTCCTGAGCCTGACGTTTTTCTTCCACAGGCAAACAGACACTGGCTGCCTTCGTTCCGCTGTTGCTGAAAGTCTGCAACAACCCTGGCCTCTACAGCAACCCAGACCTCTGCGCAGCTGCCGCTCTTGCCCTTGGCAAGTTCTGCATGATCAGGTAGGCCCCGGGGCTGGTCCACTTTCCCGAGGAGGGGGGGCACGGTTTCCCTGATCGTCTTCCCCTTGCCCCTAGTGCCACTTTCTGCGACTCCCAGCTTCGCCTTCTGTTCACCATGCTGGAGAAGTCTCCGATCCCCGTTGTCCGGTCTAACCTCATGGTTGCCGCTGGGGATCTGGCCATCCGCTTCCCCAACCTGGTGGACCCCTGGACACCTCATCTCTATGCTCGGTAAGAGACCCTTCACAAGGCAGCAGGGGTCCCAAGGGCCCCAGGAGTCCGAGTCCACATGAGGGTCACTAAGACTCTGCTCCCAAAGCTGGCATCACCCAAACAACTGCTTGACACTGACCTTTGGCCTGGCTGAGTGTGACCCACATGGCTTGAGGCTTCTGGCCAGCAGCGCTGCCCCGCTCCCCAGCTGCAGCTTCCAGCTCTAGACAGCTTCCTAACGGGGGGCTTCTGGAATGGCCTGAAACGGGGCCGGGGGCTCCGGCCCAGGGCCGTTTCTGCGGGTGCTAGGGCAGAGCCCAGGGCTGGCTCCGGTGACTCGCGCTTGCCCCCAGCCTCCGGGACCCGGCCCAGCACGTGCGGAGGACGGCGGGGCTGGTGATGACCCACCTGATCCTCAAGGACATGGTGAAGGTGAAGGGGCAGGTGAGCGAGATGGCCGTGCTGCTCATCGACCCCGAGCCACAGATCGCCGCCCTGGCCAAGAACTTCTTCAACGAGCTTTCCCACAAGGTGCAGCGGGAGGCAGTGGCGGGCCTGCCGCCGAGGGGCTGTGCAGGTCACCTGCCTCTTTAACACGGCTCTGTCTCGCAGGGCAACGCCATCTATAATCTCCTTCCAGACATCATCAGCCGCCTGTCAGACCCGCAGGGGGGAGTGGAGGAAGGGCCTTTCCACACCATCATGAAGTAGGTTACCGGGGCCTCGGGGCGCATTTGTCACAAAGCACAGGCTGGGAATCCGTGAACCTGTGTTTGAATTCCAGCCCTGCTGCTTTTTATCCGCATAGCCTTCAGCATAACTGAGCTCTCTGCGGGTTCCTCTCTCCTTTTGGGGCCCATGATTCATTCTTGAAAGTATTACAGAAGATGCTAAAACGGTGGGAGGCGCACAGCAGTACTTGCCAGACAGCAGCTGTTCCTGGCAGTTTCCGATGGGGGGCAGGAAGGGCCTTCTCCCCTATGGGGGACGTGAGGCAGGTGGAGGCCAGGGCAAGCGTGGGAAAAGGCCGGCATGGGGCAGGGTCCGGGCCTGGGTTCAGCGAGGACAGCGCTGGCCCCGGGCCAGCTTACAGCCGCCTCTCCCCTCCCCGCAGGCAGCTCCTCTCCTACATCACCAAGGACAAGCAGACAGAGAGCCTGGTGGAAAAGCTGTGTCAGCGCTTCCGCACCGCCCGGTACGCCGCCCTCCGCGAGAGGGCCCTGCGGGGCAGAGCTGCCCCGCCCTTCCCCAGGGGCACCCTGAGTCTCAGGATGCTGCGGCCAGTGCGCACCCGTGTCTCCTGGGCCCGCGGCCCCTCACGAAGCCCCTCCCGTCTGCAGGACTGAGCGGCAGCACCGGGACCTGGCCTACTGTGTGTCGCAGCTGCCCCTCACAGAGCGATGCCTCCGCAGGGCGCTGGACAATTTCAGCTGCTTTGGGGACAAACTGTCCGACGCGACCGTCTTCAGCGCCTTCTTGTCGGTTGTGGGCAAGCTGCGGCGCGGCGCCAAGCCCGAGGGCAAGGTGAGCGGCCTGAGCCTTGAGCCTCGGGCCTGCGGCTTCCGGCACTGGACGTCTGCCCTGTGGACCCAGGGCTGTCTGTCTCTCCCAGCTCGATGGCAGCCGAGCTGCCAGGGTGACCCGAGCCCAGATCGTTCTGCCTCCGATTCTCTTTAGCTTTTTTTAGTAGAGCAGCTTTCTTTTTGAGAACCGCTTAGGTTCAAAGCAAAACTGAGCAGAAATTACTTGAGGCTCCCGCCCAGCCTGTCCCCACTGCCAGTGTCCTGCGCGTGGCACGTTTTGCAGCTGATGGACTGTTGGGACACGTCACCTCCCACAGCCGTAGCTGACTTGGGCTTCGCTGTACATGATGACATGAACCCACTGTTGCAGGATCAGAGGGGCGTTTCACGGCCTCCAGAGTCCTCTGTGCTCCCTCTCCCCGTCCCTCCCTCCCCGGCAACCACCGAGCTTCTGACTGGCTCCATCGCTTTGCTTTCCGTTCCCTCCGTGTCTTCGTGTGGCCGTTTCTTTCTGGTCATGACAGCAACGTCGTGGGCCCTTGCCTTGCTAAGCTTCATCTGGCCATGTGTTTTTGAGTTCGGCCCCTCCCCTACCTCGGGTAGGTGAATCTCCTCTCTCTCTCTTGCTCTCTCTCTCAGTTTCACACCTTCCCTCTCTCATGTACTTCCTAAATAGACTATATTTTCCAATCTTAAAAAAAAATGATGGCCTGGCTCGGTGGCTCAGCCTGTAATCCCAGCGCTTTGGGAGGCCAAGGTGAGTGGATTGCCTGAGCCCGCGGGTTCGAGACCCACCTGGGCAACGTGGGGAGACCTCATCTCTACAATAAATAAAAAATTAGCCGGGCATGGTAGTGCATGCCTGTAGTTCCAGCCCCTTGGAAGGCTGAGGTGGAAGGATCGCCGGAGCCCAGCAGGTCAAGGCTGCGGTGGCCGGGAGCAGCCGCTGCACTCCAAACTGGGCGACAGAGTGACTCCAACTCAAAAGAAAAGAAAGGAACGATGTGTCCAGGCCTGCTCTTGACATCTTCTCCCTCCAGGCTGTCATAGATGAATTTGAGCAGAAGCTTCGGGCCTGTCATACCAGAGGCTTGGATGGAATAGAGGGGCTCGAGATTGGCCAAGGAGCTAGTCAGAGAACCCCGTCAGCCGAGAAGCAACGCGCTGGTACGTGAGGCAGCCCAGGCAACGGGACCACACCGGGCCCTCCCCCCCAGCACGGTGCCTTTCTTCCTCTTTTTTCTACTTCATGTCTTCCGCTTTTTGCAGTCTCTAGGCGCCAGCCTCCAGCTTCTGCAGCCTTAAACGACTTTGCCACACCAGAGCCCCGTTGTGCCACGTCCCGTCATCCAAACAGCCGGCGGCGAGTGTCCACAAAGAAACCCAAAATTGTCTTCTCAAGCGATGAGTCCAGTGACGAAGGTACCACACCCGTTTCTGCCCCAGCCCAGATGCAGGGTCCCACCATGGGGCCCGACTGAGTAGAGGATCTCTGCCCGAGAGCCCCTCTCCCGTAGTGTGAGTTTTCCTTCTGCATTGGGGTCTGGGTGGCACTCGTGTGCTCTGAGATCTGCTCCTCACCACCTCTGTGACTCCGCTTTCTCTCGTTCCTCCAACTTTTTGAATAGAGCTTTCAGCGGAGATGACAGAAGACGAGACGCCCAAGAAGACAACCCCTATCCGCAGGGCGTCCACGCGCAGGCCCAGGTCCTAGGTCAACATCTTCTGGCCCCGTCCCTCCTGTGCAGGGTGTCTTGTGGGGGCCCCGTGACCTCTAATTCTGTTCCCCTTGTAAGATACTTGTGTGTTTGCCGGTCTCCTTTTAAAAAAACGTGTGACATTTACCGTGCAAGGCATTTCTCTTAAACTAGCCTCGCTGAACTGCACTGAACTGATTTTACTTTGGAATATGTTTGCCAACCTCCTTGTTTTCTAATGAATAAATGTTTTTATATACTTTTAGGCATTTTCCCTTCACTCCATCTTTCACGTTAGCCCAGATCGTGCAGCAGATCGAGGGTTACCAGTCCAGGGAGATGCACCCCGGTCCCTGGCCTGTCTCCGGGTCACAGATGGGCTTTGAGAGGAGGTGCCTGTAGCAACCTGAATGAACTTAGTTTAGTGAAGTCTTTTGCCTCAGCATAGCCACTTTACTTAGACTTTGCCCCGGACAGGCTTTGACTCTAGCACAGGTTAGACATAGATACATTTCCAACAGGCAGGTTTTAGGAAGCCTTCAGACATTCTACTGCAGGCGATCTGGCAGCCTACCATCAGCTGCAAGTCGGGGCAGCCCAGCCTCTGGATTCATGGTTTAGTATAATCTCCAGGAAGCGTTCGGGTTCCTTGACAAGGTAGAAAATCAAAGATCACCTGGTGCCTGACTGAAGCCATAGAAATGATGATAAGACCACTTTTTGGTCCAGGTCGGTGTGTTGCCAAGGTCTGCGAAGCCTCTTGCAGGAAAACGCCCTCCCCTTGGCTCCACCCCTCTAGCTCACCACCTGAGGGCAGAGGTGCTACCGTGCCGGAGGGCAAGATCTGAGGCTCCTGCGGCTGCCAGCACACCAAGGACCCGCGGCCCTGGACATTCCAGCCGGGACGATCCTCGGGGCCTAAACCCCCCGGTCCCAAAGGCCCTGAGTAGACCCAGGGCTTGGCCCTTCGAGGCCACGCTTGCTCGGAGTGCCAGCCCCCTTTCCGATCGGTGGAAGGTGGTTGCCTAACTTGACTTGTTTCTCCATCCTTCCTTGTTGCGACCTTGATCCTTCCTGTAGCGCCGGCCTGGCCCACCCGGCCTCGGCTTACCCTGTCAAGCCTCCTGTCCCGACTGCCCGTGTGTCCATCTCCCCCTCCGGCCCCATCGTGGAGATGCAGTCTCTCAGGCTCCAGATCAGGGCTTCTCCACGGGGCGGTTTTGCCCCCAGAGGACATCCGGCGATGCCTGGAGCCGTTTTTGGTCTCCACAGCCTTGGGGTGCTGCGGTGGGTGGAGGCCAAGGCGCTCTAAACGCCCTTGGACGGTGCACAGGACAGCCCGCAGGACGGTCATCCAGCCCCAAGCCCTGCGTTGAGAAACCTCCAGACCAGGGTTGCTGCTCGGCCCCACCCCACCCCGTCCCCCAATCCCAGAGCAAAGACTGGCAGCCGACCTGGCCAGGCCAGCGGGAGGCTGGGCCTGATGCCCTCCGGCTCGGCAGGGCACAAGGTCCGTCTCCTCTGGACTCTGCCGTGCTGCCGGTCTGCAGGAGGTGCAGGCCGCGGGCTTCTGGGGGCGCCCCGGCCCCCCCGCCC